ACCATCTCTGCCTACTGTCTATCCTGCACCTCACCTGGGTCACACCTCACACCAACCCTTACACCATGTTTGTGATACGTGGTTAATTTACCTGCTTTAGTTCAATACACTGATTGTAAGTCGCTCTGGATAAGAGCGTCTGCTAATTGACTAAAATGTATGTTTGTTTCAGGCCTAGGATTTGGTGTGAGAGAGGAGGTGAGATTTACTTTGACAGAGCAGATGTTACATAATGTGTTATTTGCATGTTTAATCTGTTAGGTTTGTATGAAGCCTAGGAGCGGGTGGGAGATGGAGGTGAGAGTTGCTGTGATAGTGCAGAAGGCATGGCATGCCTCGTCCTGTATTACATTGAGCTGTTAATGGCTAGGTTGATTAAACACATACAGTAACACACATACAGTCACACACATACAGTCACAAGGATCTCCTGGAGTGCCAGATGGACGAGGTTTACAGTCTTGGGACCTTTTTATTGGGTCAATTGCCCCAGAAAAGCTCATTCAAGCCCAGCTAAAGTATTTTAAATGGATTCAAAAAGTATTTGAACTGTGTGTGTGTGTGTGTGTACCTGTTTAACTATACCAGTAGTCCCCACAATACTAGTAAACTAAGACATTTTTTACCAACTGGGGACATTTTGCTAGTCCCCTCAAGGAAAAAGGCTATTTCTAGGGTTTTATGGTTAAGGTTATAATTTGTGTTAGGGTTAGAATTAGGGTTAGGGGTTAAAGATTAGGTTTAGGAGTTAGGGTTAAGGTTAGGTTTTTGGGATAAGGTTAGGGTAAGGGTTAGGTTTAGGGAGGGTTAGGGTTAGGGGTTAAAGAAAACAGGATTTTGAATGGGAAACAATTGTGTGTCCCCACAAGGTTAGTTAAACACGACTGTGTGTGTGTGTGTGTATATGTATACAGTCACACAGATATCCCGTGCGTGTGTGTGTGTGTGCCTTTATTTGATAAATGCAAATGCTTTCACAACCCCCTTTAAAAAGGGACATGGGTAAAACATTTATTTTTGACCAAGTTGTAATCTACTGCATTGTCTTTCCAACTACATTTTATATTCTTTCCCTTCCAAAATAAGTGTGTAGATACAGCGCCCCTCCTTGTTCAAATATGGAACAACATTGTCATTAAGTATATAACCAATACAAGTGGCAGGGCTGCAATTTTGCTGAAATATGAATCCCAGATTGTCGCTTTAAGAGCCACAGCTGTTCTTGTAGGAAGGTTTTGACCGGACTGCGATAGCAACTCCTATCTATTTCTGAACATCCCTGAGAGGTCGAGAGAAACATCCCGACAATGTGGAGTCTTTAGCATAACATTTTATTTGCAAATACAATACATTCTTAAAACTTTTTTCTCTACAAAACAATTTCACAGAAATTACCTTGGAATGTATATTCCTGTTTTTAACTTATATATGTATATATTTTTATGTTTCATTTTTAAATAGTCCTGTGTCAATGCTAAATGATGTACAGTAGACCTTTCTTTATAGGGGGAGAAGAGGGATGGGCAAAGAAGAGAGATTTTAACAATCAAAAGCAAGCTAATGCCCATTTATGGCCATTATGAAGCCTTCCAGTCTATCCCCCTGTCACAATAAGTGCTGGGTAAGTACACAAATTGGCCTCCAGTCATTCTGATGGGAGCAGGTGGCTTCCTGTTACACAACAGCAGCTGTCAGTGTCTCTCCATCACACCTCAAATACCCTTTAGGTCAAAGACCACCCCACCCACCCACAGACCACCCTGGTCCTCACAGTTTCTATAGCTTTACACCCCCCCTCCCCCCTCTCTCTTTCTCTCTCTCTCTCACGATCCCTCTTTCTTTCTCTCCCTCTCTCTCATTCTCTCTGTATCTAGGACCTTGTTTGTTCAGTTTATCAAGCTTTTTGAGTAGGATGTAACATTTATAGAAGGTTCCAGATATAAATGTAATGTACAGAACTGACACGATTCCATCATTCTACCTGACAGGACATAATTTTTGTTCTACAAAATGTATTTCTAGCTGACCCTTCTGTAATGTCACCCCTCTTGAATAAGCCCCTAGTATTCTTTGCAGTTGATGCCCCCCTCTTCACTGCCTAAACTAGACTCCCACAAATCCCAGGATAAAAGGCACACATTGTAAAATGGCCTTGCAATGTCCCAAATCTCACTCAAATAAATTCTGTTTGACTTTATTTAGATCCACGTCTTCAGGGAAGAGTTTCAGAGCTCTGAGTAACTCCCTCTGTCTCTGTGTGTGTTTCTCTGTTAGTATTCCTATGTAGCTAAAGGAATATGAAGCTTCATCCCGAAACCCAGTCATCCTTTGATAAACCAAGTTCAGCTCAGCATCTGTTTAAAACATCACGGGCATTAAAGCATTGCCATAAATGTAAAATAAAATGAAAAAAAAAAACAGTATCAAAGTCTACCACTTATCACTCACAGTCCACTGCTCCCTTCCCAGTGCACTTCTTGGTTCGTTACAGTTATATCTGAGGGGTTTTCAGAGAACTCTGGGGAATGGAGCATACCATCAGCATGATGAACGAGAGATCAGGGGATAAACCATGTGCTGATTCAGTGTCTGAGAAAAATAATAGTACACCCCAACCCAATATTAGTGCATTTACGCAACCCACTCATCAGTATGACCTGAGCCATGATAGGTAGGCATCCATTTTCTGATATACCCCTGTAGGGGATGGTAGATCAACCTGGAATATTTTAATACAATGAATCAAGTAATAAATCAAGTAATTCATTAGTGTTGGCTAGCCTGACCATGAACGCAGCACAATATCATCATCTGTAAATAGTTAGGGGAGAGTGGGGTAAGTTGAGCCATTTTTCACATTCAGCATCACTCCATCAAGGAAAATACAGTATTATTTCTAACAAAGATATCTACATTCATTTCAGGATGTTGTGTAATCCTGGAAATAATCAGAATTCCTGTAAACATTACAGTTATGAAAACATAGCTTGTCCAAAAAAAAAAGGGTCTCTTGGCAAAACTTACCCCAGGTATGGGAAAAGTTGAGCCCCGGGACAGGGTAAGTTAAGCCGCCTACAAATTTCTGTAATGAATGAAATATTACCAATACCTTTTTAAAACCATGTCTATCTTTATTTCCCAAACACAATTCAACACAATCACAATCACTTTTTTGCCTTTAAATCATTTAAATCTTTAAATCAGGCTTAACACCTAACAAACACTTTGTACTTTTTTTTAAACACGTTTAACATAGGCCAGGCCCTGTTGTTACCTCATATCCCAGTGATAATGCCTTGCATTATGCCTGGGAAGAAACTACTTCAATTTGCCATTGGCTAACTTACCCCATGGCCATTGGCTGAACTTACCCCAAAGCAAACATTTGGACTATATTAGCCCACACAGCTACAATGATGCACTTTCATACTAGGTTTAGGACCTCATATTGAAGTGTATATAGACCCCAAATGATTTATAGAACAATCTTAAAATTATCTACCTTGGTTTAAATACAAGCATCATGAAACCTCTAACACAATAAATTAATTTGACTTGGTGAAAACCCGTTTTCTTTTTACCTAACTTGCTTACCACTTTTTCGATGTGGTTTCTTCCTTCATAGACTTCATGAAGTGATGACCTCTTCCTAAATGTTTGGTCAAATTATTAATTTTGTGTATGGTTTCCTAGAAACAAGGTTGGCTCAACTTACCCCTTAGGCTCAACTTACCCCACTCTCCCCTAAAATTCTTCCAACAAAACAGCAGCGAGGCTATGTACAATGTTAGAAAAGATACAAGGAATCCATGTCAATGCCAGAACGAGAGAGAAAGAACGAGAGAGAAACAGAGAAAGAGAAAGCGAAAGAGAAAGAGAGAGAGAGAAGAAAAGAGAGAGAGCGAGAAGAAAAGAGAGAGAGAGAGAGAGATGGTACAGAAAGAGAGGAATTGATAAGAAAAGAGAAAAAGAGAGAGAAAGACAGACCAAAAGAAAGCAAGATAGACTGTGAAATTAAGTACGTTTTTCAAAGCACATTGTTAAATCTGATGCCTTTGCCGAAATCTCACCGTGGATCCCCCATTCCATACTCCATACTGTCCAGTATCTGTGTCCTCTTCCCATAAAACTGTACACACAACAGAGCTTATATTTAATATGCAACAACTTAGGGTTGCAAAATTCTGGGAACTTTCCCAAATTTCCGAGGTTGGAAGATATCCCTGTTAAAAGATATCCGGAATCAGGAGTAAATAAGCAGGAATTTTGGGAAAGTTACCCATACTGCATCATATGCCTCTATAGTACATTTGAAGCACCCCGGTTAGATTTATATGAAGAAGCACATCAGGTAGAACCACTACACACTGTTACTTTCAACACCCAGACATCTCGTTGCAATACTAATATCTGAAATTTGACACCAGAGTGACGGAACGCGTTTCCGGAACGACTATTGTTGGCACGTACCTGAACACAAACAAACAAACATTCTGTCATCAACACAAAGTCCTTCTAATGTTCCTCAGACGTCTCCTCACGTGGATGTTTTTGTAGAAAATCTTAGGTTGTCTTTACAAATGCCTCGCTAGAAAAAAAGGCGCTTCCTCTGAACAAAACAAACAAAATACAAATAAACAGTCTGTCAGGTAACATTGCACCAAAAAAGAAAAAGAAGACATCGTCTCTACATTGAGTTCTGTTAGTGAGGTGAAAGGTCAAGTCTAGCCGGGTAGACGTCAACACCAACATACAAACAGATTCCCTCCATTTTCCCCCTTCAATGTCCTCCATTGACGGAAAAAACATACTCAGGGAAAAGAGGGTTCCTCAGATGGGTCCTCGGAGGAGCAAGGACGGGCATCCCTGAAAAGTGCCTATCTAAAAAAGGCAAAGTCAGGCAGTAAGTGAGCTCATTCAGGGTCTCTCCTCACACACAGTGGAGCTGCAGGTATAGGCCATGTGTTTTGGGTCGTCCAGGCCCATGGGGGTGGCGTTAGCTATCCCCCTCCCTTGGGGGTTTTCTTGTTCTGAGCGTTCCACATGCCCCTTTTGGAGTGGTAGTAGTGGAAGAAGTTCCTCAGTCTCAGTCTCTCCACCTCCAGACCGTTCTGTAGTACCCTGGAAGAAGGGAAGAGAGGAACAATCAGGTTAGGAGCCAGTGATTGCCCCCACCAAAAAATCACTCCTTTTCTCGTCGCCTCCAATGATTAGAAATTACTTAACAGATGAAAACAATGTGGTGGAAGCTCATCATTAGCCGCTTTCAAATCAGTGCAATGAAGAAGAGAAGGTATAATTTTAAGACAATTGAGAAAGAGCCCGGATAGAGGGGAAAGAGGGTTAGGAAGCAGAGAGTGTTGTGTTTGCAATGGTGAGGGTTGCCAGGTTACCTGTCCAGTAGTTCCCAGTCCTCTCCTCCCCAGCGGTCTTTAAACTCCTCCGTGTTCATCCCTCCGATCTTATCAAAGTCCGACTTATAAATTCCAAACAGGCCAAAGCCATTCACCTCCCAGTAGCCTGCAGAGGGAAAGGCAGTCTGACTTAGTAAATCCCAAACATGGTGTGTGTGTATGTGTGTGTGCATGCTGCGTGCGAGATGTGTGTGCGTGTGTGTGTGTGTGTGTGTGTATCATGTGTGTATTACCGTCAGGCTCTAGTGGGGAGCTGCCACAGCCCAGTCTCATGACAATAGGGGCGAAGGCCAGACGTCCCTCTACACAGTGCTTCCTGATGCTCTCCAGGATGTTGAGGGGGAAGTGGATGTGAAGGTCACACAAGAACGCTATACTGTGGTTGTCCTGTAAAACACACATACACACAAATACGGTGTAATCAAAACTAAAGTACACACAATCATGGTTACAGACCCCCAACATACTCAGTCCCACAAACTCAAACGCCACCCAAAAACAGCCAATCGAAATGTTCTACTCTTCTGTGTGTGTGTTGTGTGTGTGTGTGTGTTTATGTGTGTGTGTGTGTCTGAAGCATGCACTCGTGTGTCTGTATGTGTGTGAAGGGGTTTGATATAAAACACCCACAGTCATTCAACTGTGAGTGACACCCCAGTCTTCCCCATGTGACAGGTCTGACACTCAAATGACAGATAACTGTTTACCCAAATCTCTGTTGCATTGAGAGAGAGAGAGAGAGAGAGAGAGAGAGAGAGAGAGAGAGAGAGAGAGAGAGAGAGAGAGAGAGAGAAAGTGAGTGAGTGAGTGAGAGAGAGAGAGAAAGTCTATGTGACAGTCATGACACTCCAATGATAAATAACGGTCTGCCCAAATCCCTGTCGCACAGAGAGAGAGAGCGAGACAGATAGAAAGAACAAGAGAGACAGAGTTGAGAGAAAGAGAGAGAACGGAGAGAGAGATAGAGGGGAGGGTAGTAGTAGGAGAGGGAAAGAAAAATAGAGAAAGTCAACGTGACAGCTTTGACACTCCAATGACAGATAACTGTCTGCGCAAATCCCTGTCACACACACACAAAAAGAGAACACCATTGAATAAAACATTGAATACATATCTGTCTGCCTGTCTGTCTGTCTATCAATCTGTCAGGCTATGGGGTCACAGAGAACTGGACAGTTTGAATAATAATAATATGCCATTTAGCAGACGCTTTTATCCAAAGCGACTTACAGTCATGCGTACATACATTTTTGTGTATGGGTGGTCCCGGGGATTGAACCCACTACCTTGGCGTTACAAGCGCTGTGCTCTACCAGCTGAGCTACAGAGTCTGTGACTCTCTTGGGAGCATCTGAGACCGCTTGACCTCTTGCCAGTCTTCACAGTCAGAAACGAACCAATACTGCACCTCACGATTTCATGGCATATACCGTGACTATCTCACTGTATTAAAAAATACCTCCTCACTGAGGTTGAGTTACAGTTACAAGAGTTCCAACATCAATTGTGCTGCAGCTTTTTATATTACTCAACCTGTCTATGTGAAATGCTATGGTTAGTATGCTCATGGCATGTGCCATTGTGATAGTAAAATGTCGTCTAGAAGCTTCAGCCTGCTCTCTACTGAGTGTGAATGTGTGTCACCTCAATCAGTGAATTTGCAAATGTATTGGCTGTTTATGAATTCAAATAGAGAGATACCTTCTCTCTTTCCCTTCCTGTAGGTCTGCTATCTCTCACCTCGATAGTGTCCACTCCGATCTGTAGTCCTGCTGAGCGCTCAAAGTTCCCTTCTCTTCTCAAGTACTCATACCTAACAAAACACACAGACAATCACATCAGTTAACTCCAGGGTTTGGTCCAATTACATATCCATTATGTGTTTGTGTCAGTTGGAATTGCTCCATAGGACTGTTTTTAAATACCTGAATCCATTCAATTCCTGTAGTAATTAAAATGCACTCCTATGGAGCTTTGGATTAAGTCTGAGAAACACACACACCCACACACACACACACACGCACCTAGGCACAGTGCTCTCTCGGAGGGCCTGCTCCACGTCCATGTCGGTGCTCTCGAAGTCGACAATGATGATGCTGAAGTTGTCGTCCTTAGTCTGCCGGTGCAGCTCCTCCATGTCTGTGATGAACTGCTGCACCCAGCGAGCCTGGTTCTTCACTAGAGACACACAGAGAGAGTGGTAAGTGCTTTAACTTTCCATGCCAATATTGAAATGAATTGAGAGAGGGAAAAATTGTGTTTCAACACAACACTAGCTAAATCAGATATAGCAATCTTCAATTCCCAAGCTTTCCTTTCAGATCTACAAGAGTGTCTGTGCTGCATTTTCCAAACCTCTCCTCAGGGACCCCCAGCCGTTTCATGTAGTTGATCTATTCCAGAGCTAGCACACTTTCCAGGGCTACAAAAAAAATTGTGAAACGTGTGGGAGTCCTTGAGAAATGGTTTGAGAAACACTACTGTTGGAGAAGGGACTAGTGACCTAACGATAGGTCCACCCCTCCAGTACTGGGGCCTCATTTATAACCGTTGAATACATTGAATACACAGTCCCCTGTAGCTCAGTTGGTAGAGCATGGCACTTGCAACGCCAGGCTTGTGGGTTCATTTCCCACGGGGGGCCAGTATGAAAATGTATGCACTCACTAACTGTAAGTCGCTCTGGATAAGAGCGTCCGCTAAATGACTAAAATGTAAATTTCACACAAAATGTCTGCGTGCTCCATTTCTGAAAAGTCTGCACACGTACAAAAATATTGAGATTTATAAACTTGCCACACGCCATACATACGCATGTTTCCTGTTATAACTCAGACCTGTCGAAGAACAAGCACTAAAACACCGCCTGGAAAACACCTCCGTTCACCTTTTATGGTAACAACTACACCCTTTATTTGCTGTATAATTTGGAACAATTGGCATTAGGCCAAGGCATGCAAAAGACAAATTGTTGTTCAATATGTCGTTTATCAATAGATTATTGGGTTTAAATGTCCTGCCTTGGTATAGGCTCTGAGATTAAAAAGGAAATGATTACGCGCTCTTATCGCACAGCAATACTGTAGCCTACACATACTGTCAAATATTTTACATGGAGTGCATTCGGAAAGCATTCAGACCCCTTGACTTTTTTCACATTTTGTTATGTTACAGACTTATTCTAAAATTGATTAAATAAATGTTTGTCCCCATCAATCTACACACAATACCCCATAATGACAAAGCAAAAACAGATTTTTAGAAAACAGAAATACCTTATTTACATAAGTATTCAGACCATTTGCTATGAGACTCGAAATTGAGCTCAGGTGCATCCTGTTTCCATTGATCATCCTTGAAATGTTGCTACAACTTGATTGGAGTCCACCTGTGGTAAATTCAATTGATTGGACATGATTTGGAAAGGCACACACCTGTCTATATAAAGTCCCACAGTTGACAGTGCATGTCAGAGCAAAAACCAACTCTGAGACAGGATTGTGTCGAGGCACAGATCTGGGGAAGGGTACCAAAAAAATGTCTACAGCATTGAAGGTCCCCAAGAACACAGTGGCCTCCATCATTCTTTTTATTTTTATTTTTCGAGAGGGTAGATCAGCTTTAATATTGCAGATAGATTGTAACTTCCATCAATGTAATTGTCTGCATCACTTCCAATCCCCCATATGTTTTTTTTCTCTCGCATATATATATATATATATATATATATATATATATATATATATATATATATACACACACATTCATACATATCCTTTAAAAATATATATATTTCCCTTTATTACTTTCCAACCCCACCATCCCTTCCCTAATTGGAGTAAACTAGTGAACAACAATGCTTAGGCCTCTACTTCATGCTTATACATACTATATACATTTTATGGACACAGTCAATAATTATATTTTGTTTGTTTTTACTCCTGAACTTCCTCCGATCATTTTCATGATGTCCATCTGATATGCTTCTATATGCCATATCTTTCTAACTGTGCTCTTTCACAAAAGCTCACAATATATAACCTATATACTTATTATGGACACAGCATGTCTTACACTAGTTATCTTGTTCTTATTAGTTGTTGTTATTAGTCCCATCCTTCAGCTCCATTCAACACCTCCCATCTATCTCTTTACACCATCCATATTGGATTTCTATTTGCCATATATATTTTTCAACTGTACTGTGATGTTTTACAAAAGTTCTGAACCTTTCTATTCTCATTGTTTCTACAGTTTGTGAATTGAAAATAAACATATTTGCTAAAAGTATTATTATATTATTGATCGATTGACTATGACTTTTCAGATCACCCAGTAGTGCTATCAAGAACACAGTGGCCTCCATCATTCTTCAATGGATGAAGTTTGGAACCACCAAGACTCTTCCTAGAGCTGGCCGCCCGGCCAAACTGAGCAATAGGGGGAGAAGGGCCTTGGTCAGGGAGGTGACCAAGATCCCGATTGTCACTCTGAAGGAGCTCCAGAGTCCTTCTGTGGAGATGGGAGAATCTTCCAGATGGACAACAATCTCTTCAGCACTCCACCAAATCAGGCCTTTATGGTAGAGTGGCCAGACAGAAGCCACTCCTCAGTAAAAGGCACATGACAGCCCGCTTGGAGTTTGCCAAAAGGCACCTAAAAGACTCTCAGACCATGAGAAACAAGATTCTCTGGTCTGAAGAAACCAAGATTGAACTCTTTGGCCTGAATGCCAAGCATCACATCTGGAGGAAACCTGGCACCATCCCTAAGGGGAAGCATGGTGGTGGCAGCATTATGCTGTGGGGATGTTTTTCAGCGGCAGGGACAGGGAGACTAGTCAGGATTGAGGGAAAGATGAACGGAGAAAAGTACAGAGAGATTCTTGATGAAAACCTGCTCCAGAGCGCTCAGGACCTCTGACTGGGGAGAAGGTTCACCTTCCAACAGGACAATGACCCTAAGCACACAGCCAATACAACGCAGGAGTGGCTTCCGGACAAGTCTCAATGTCCTTGAGTGGCCCAGCCAGAGCCCAGATTTGAACCCAATCGAACATCTCTGGAGAGACCTGAAAATATCTGTGCAGCGACGATCCACATCCAACCTGACAGAGCTTGAGAGGATCTGAAGAGAAGAATGGGAGAAACTCCCCAAATACAGGTGTGCCAAGCTTGTAGCGTCATACCCAAGAAGACTCGAGGCTGTAATCGCTGCCAAAGGTGCTTCAACAAAGTACTGAGTAAAGGGTCTGAATACTTATGCAAATGTGAAATTTCCGTTTTTTATTTGTAATAATTTTTGCAAAAATTTCTAATAACCTGTTTTTGCTTCGTCATTATGGGGTATTGTGTGTAGATAGAAAAAAAACTATGTAATCCATTTTAGAATAATCCTGTAACATAACAAAATGTGGAAAGTCAAGGGGTCTGAATACTTTCCGAATGCACTGTAAGCTACTGGTCTATTTACTGTGTTGGCAGAATGTTATAATCTTTAGCAGTAATTTATGCTGTATCTGGAAAAGGACTGCGTCAGTTTCCTAACAACATTGTCGTGGACCTGTCAGCAAAACGTTAGAATTCAAAAATGTTTTATACCGACTTTTTCCCCCAACCTAAATATGATGGACTGTCCACAAATTCTGAAACATTGTAGGGCAGACTACTCAAAAAAATGCAGTAGTTACAGTTATTTCTTGTGTGTTTTTGTTCTACTTGACTTTTTTATTTATTTTCTATAGTACTACTGATATTCATTACTGCATTGTTGGGAAAGGCATTTCACTGTAGGCTACTTGTGCACATGACAATAAAAACAATAAAAACATGAATCTTGAAACTTGATACCAAGGCCTACTTCAATGTAAAAGATCAGCTGTTAAATTCGCCTGTATACTGGTATTATAAACCGTGCTGCCTATGATATTGCAAAACTTGAAATACATATAGCCTATCTATTTACTAGGCTACTAGGTCCAATTAAACAAGAGATGTGCATGGTAATTTGTTGTATGGCCCCTTAGGAATATGAACCCATCACGGCAAGAAAAGGTGAGGAATATATTCTGCAATGGTTATGAAAATAAAATAGGAAAAATATCATAAGATTATTATATGTAACTATTTCAGATTCTCACTAATGGCAAATGGTTGCATTCTTGTTAATAAGTGTTCCTGTTTTTATTTATTTATGAATAAGCCTTTCATCATATCCCCCATTTGCACAAAATTCTTACTTGCCAGCTTGCAATACAATATTTCAACCACTAGAAGATGCGCGTACACATTGTCTAAAGTTTTACTTCAAGCAAAAAATAAATAAATGCCAACTTTTGCGTGAAAACTGGCGCACACACATTTTGGGGTATATCTTCTACGTACTCACGGTTTCTAAATGAGGCCCCTGGTACCTACCTGGCACCACAAAATGCACCATAACATCCTTCCGCCACTGCAGCATGACCGGCTGGCACAGCAGGGGGTTGGCATAGGCCGTGCCCCACTGGGTGGCCCCGGGCTGGGCAGAGGGGTGCGTGGAGGTTGGGGGTGCGGGGGTGGTGAGGATGAGACCAGGGGGGGACCTAGCAGGGGCCGAGGCGGGGACGAACTCCGTGTTCTCCAGGCTGTCCCCGCCCAGACGGCCACGGTGGAGCAGAAGGTAGATGTATTCCGAGAGGCGCACCACATTCCGGCCGCGCTCCATCAGCTCCAGCTCCACCAAGTAGCGGTTCCCACGGGCCGAGTCTCGCCTCTTCTCCACATTGATGATCCGCAAAAGGGTGTAGATACTGGGGGAGGAATGGGAGGGTGGGTTTAGTAAAACAAACGTACAACTTCAACATATTCACCACATTGCTTCTTTCCCCTACCCAATACACATGCACGCGCAAACACACGCAAACACACACACAGTTCAAATACTTTAGCTGGGCTTGATTGAGCTTTTCTGGGGCAATTGACCCAATAAAAAAGTCACAAGACTGTAAACCTCGTCCATCTGGCACTCCAGGCAGGATAAAGCAAATGCTAAAAGTATTTACAGTTGAAGTCGGAAGTTTACATACACCTTAGCCAAATACATTTAAACTCAGTTTTTCACAATTCCTGACATTTAATCCTAGTAAAAATTCCCTGTCTTAGGTCAGTTAGGATCACCACTTTATTTTAAGAATGTGAAATGTTTCAGCTTTTATTTCTTTCATCACATTCCCAGTGGGTCAGAAGTTTACATACACTCAATTAGTATTTGGTTGCATTGCCTTTAAATTGTTTTGGGTAGCCTTCCACAAGCTTCTCACAATAAGTTGGGTGAATTTTGGCCCATTCCTCCTGACAGAGCTTCTGTAACCGAGTCAGGTTTGTAGGCCTCCTTGCTCGCACATGCTTTTTCAGTTCTTCCCACACATTTTCTATAGGATTGAGGTCAGGGCTTTGTGATGGCCACTCCAATACCTTGACTTTGTTGTCCTTAAGCCATTTTGCCACAACTTTGGAAGTATGCTTGGGGTCATTGTCCATTTGGAAGACCTATTTGCGACCAAGCTTTAACTTCCTGACTGATGTCTTGATATGTTGATTCAATATATCCACATAATTTTCCTTCCTCATGATGCCATCTATTTTGTGAAGTGCACCAGTCCCTCCTGCAGCAAAGCACCCCCACAGCATGATGCTGCCACCCACGTGCATCACGGTTGGGATGGTGTTCTTCGACTTGCAAGCGTCGCCCTTTTCCCTCCAAACATAATGATGGTCATTATGGCCAAACAGTTCTATTTATGTTTCATCAGACCACAGGACATTTCTCCAAAAAGTACGATCTTTGTGCAGTTCCCCATGTGCAGTTGCAAACCATAGTCTGGCTTTTTTATGGCCGTTTTGGAGCAGTGGCTTCTTCCTTGCTGAGCAGCCTTTCAGGTTATGTCGATATAGGACTCGTTTTACTGTGGATATAGATACCTTTGTACCTGTTTCCTCCAGCATCTTCACAAGGTCCTTTGCTCTTGTTCTGGGATTGACTTGCACTTTTCGCACCAAAGTACGTTAATCTCTAGGAGACATTTACATCATTTAGCAGACGCTCTTATCCAGAGCAACTTACAAATTGGTGCATTCAACTTATGATAGCCACTGGGACAACCACCTTTAAAAAAAAAAAAAAAAAAAATAATGGGGGGTGGGGGAAAAGAAGGATTACTTTATACTATTCCAGGTATTCCTTAAAGAGATAGGGTTTCAAGTGTCTCCGGAAGGTGGTCAGTGACTCTGCTGTCCTGGCGTCATAGGGGGAGCTTGTTCCACCATTGGGGTGCCAGAGCAGCGAATAGCTTTGACTGGGCTGAGCGGGAACTGTGCTTCCGTAGAGGTAGGGGAGCTAGCAGGCCAGAGGTGGATGAACGTAGTGCCCTCGTTTGGGTGTAGGTTCTGATCAGAGCCTGAAGGTAAGGAGGTGCCATTCCCCTCACAGCTCCGTAGGCAAGCACCATGGTCTTGTAGTAGATGCGAGCCTCAACTGGAAGCCAGTGGAGTGTGCGGAGGAGCGGGGTGATATGAGAGAACTTGGGAAGGTTGAACACCAGACGGGCTGCAGCATTCTGGATAAGTTGAAGGGGTTTAATGGCACAGGCAGGGAGCCCAATCAAAAGCGAGTTGCAGTAATCCAGACGGTAGATTATAAGTGCCTGGATTAGGACCTGTGCCGCTTTCTGTGTAAGGTAGGGTCGTACTCTGCGAATGTTGTAAAGCATTAACCTGCAGGATCGGGTCACCGCTTTGATGTTAGCGGAGACAGAATGCGTCTCCTTCCTGAGCGGTATGACGGCTGCGTGGTCCCATGGTGTTTATACTTGCATACTATTTTTTGTACAGATGAACGTGGTACCTTCAGGCATTTGGAAATTGCTCCCAAGGATGAACCAGACTTGTGGAGGTCTACAATTGTGTTTCTGAGGATTTGGCTGATTTCTTTTGATTTTCCCATGATGTCAAGCAAAGAGGCACTGAGTTTGAAGGTTGGCCTTGAAATACATTCCCAGGTACACCTCCAATTTACTCAAATGATGAAAATTAGCCTATCAGAAGCTTCTAAAGCCATGACATCATTTTCTGGAATTTTCCAAGCTGTTTAAAGGCACAGTCAACTTTGTGTATGTAAACTTCTGACCCACTGGAATTGTGATACAGTGAATTATAAGTGAAATAATCTGTCTTTAAACAATTATTGGAAAAATTACTTGTGTCATGCACAAAGTAGATGTCCTAACCAACTTGCCAAAACTATAGTTTGTTAACAAGAAATTTGTGGAGTGGTTGAAAAACGAGTTTTAAATGACTCCAACCTAAGTGTATGTAAACTTCCGACTTCAACTGTATAACAGTATCTGAACCCAGGTCTGGCACAAACACACACTAACCCTCCGTTGCGCTCGTTGAGCTTCTCCATGTACTGTGCCAGCACATCCACCACCTCGCTCTCGGCCAGCTGCAGGTTCCCAGACACGTTGCAGCGCAGGTCATTCCAGTCGGAGCGCAGCAGCTCAAAGTCCATGGGGTTGACCGAAAATGTCCTCTGCCAGTTGATGCTCTCCTATTTATTCATTATTATGTTTATTTGACAGAGTTTGTACACTTAAAACATACATTTCACATGAGGTTGTATGCATTGTACTAGATATAGGTAAACAGCAAATTGTTTCCAGCTAATTGTCTTTAAACATGAGCTCCAGTCCCTGGGCAGATGAACAATAAAATCATTCACCATTAGAGCCTGAGCGATAGGCTATGGCAGGGCTCTTCAATTCCGGCCATGGAGGATTTCTACCTGGTAGTTAATTGCACTCACCTGGTGTCCCAGGTCTGAATTAGCCCCTGATTAGAAGGAGAGGATGAAAAACAGAGGTGTTTCGGCCCTCCAGGACCGGAATTGAAGAACCCTGGGCTATGGGATTTTTGTGTCTGACTTCGATTTTTTGTAAGGCGAAATACACTGATTCTGATATACTGTGTCTGCCGATAAGTTGTTTTTCAGTGCTAGGATGAAAAATAGACGTGTTCTGCACAAATTGAGTTTCAAATGAAAAACAGCTCTACAAAGATACTTTGAATGCTGATTTCTTACATTTGAAAAATAAACTACTCAGATTAGCATGACTGTTTATTGTAGGGGAGAGTGGGGTAAATTGAGCCAAAGGGTTAGTTGAGTCACCCCTTGTTTCGAGGAAACCATACACAAAATTAATCATGTGACCAAATATTTAGGAAGAGGTCATCCCCGTACCCGGGGTAAGTTGTACCGAGAGACCACTTTTTTGGGACAAGCTACAATGAGGGAAAAAAGTATTTGATCCCCTGCTGATTTTGTACGTTTTCCCACTGACAAAGAAATGATCAGTCTATAATTTTAATGGTAGGTTTATTTGAACAGTGAGAGACAGAATAAAAACAAAAAAAATGTCCAAAATGTTATAAATTGATTTGCATTTTAATGAGGGAAATAATTATTTGTCCCCCTCTCAATCAGAAAGATTTCTGGCTCCCAGGTGTCTTTTATACAGGTAACGAGCTGAGATTAGGAGCACACTCGTAAAGGGAGTGCTCCTAATCTCAGTTTGTTACCTGTATAAAATACACCTGTCCACAGAAGCAATCAATCAATCAGATTCCAAACTCTCCACCATGGCCAACACCAAAGAGCTCTCCAAGGATGTCAGGGACAAGATTGTAGACCTACATAAGGCTGGAATGGGCTACAAGACCATCGCCAAGCAGCTTGGTGAAAAGGTGACAACAGTTGGTGCGATTATTCGCAAATGGAAGAAACACAAAAGAACTGTCAGTCTCCCTCGGCCTGGGGCTCCATGCAAGATCTCACCTTGTGGAGTTGCAATGATCATGAGAACGGTGAGGAATCAGCCCAGAACTACACAGGAGGATCTTGTCAATGATCTCAAGGCAGCTAGGACCATAGTCACCAAGAAAACAATTGGTAACACACTACGCCGTGAAGGACTGAAATCCTGCAGCGGTACCCCTGCTCAAGAAAGCACATATACAGGGCCGTCTGAAGTTTGCCAATGAACATCTGAATGATTCAGAGGAGAACTGGGTGAAAGTGTTGTGGTCAGATGAGACCAAAATTGAGCTCTATGGCATCAACTCAACTCGCAGTGTTTGGAGGAGGAGTAATGCTGCCTATGACCCCAATAACACCATCCCCACCGTCAAACATGGAGGTGGAAACATTATGCTTTGGGGGTGTTTTCTTTTTGGCGAAAACCAAACACTGCATTCCACAGTGAGAACATCATACCAAAGGTCAAGCATGGTGGTGGTGGTGTGATGGTTTGGGGATGCTTTGCTGCCTCAGGACCTGGATGACTTGCCTTAATAGAAGGAACCATGAATTCTTCTCTGTATCAGAGAATTCTACAGGAGAATGTCAGACCATCCGTCTGCGAGCTGAAGCTGAAGCGCAGCTGGTTCATGCAGCAAGACAATGATCCAAAACACACAATCAAGTCTACATGAACATTGCTAAAAAGCAACAAATTTGAAGTTTTGGAATGGCCTAGTCAAAGTCCAGACCTAATCCCAATTGAGATGTTGTGGCAGGACTTGAAACGAGCAGTTCATGCTTGAAAACCCACACGTCACTGAGTTAAAGCAGTTCTGCATGGAAGAGTGGGCCAAAATTCCTCCACAGCGACGTGAGAGACTGATCAACAACTACAGGAAGCATTTGGTTGGCGTCATTGCAGCTAAAGGTGGCACAACCAGTTATTGAGTGTAAGGGGGCAATTACTTTTTCACACAGGGGAATTGGGTTTATGAAATAAATATGTAATTGTTGTGTTATTTGTTCACTTATGTTCCCTTTATCTAATATTAGGTTTTGGTTGAAGATCTGATAACATTCAGTATCACAAATATGCAAAAGTAGAGAAAATTAGAAAGGGGGCAAATACTTTTTCATAGCACTGTAGGTCTCATGGGAAGTAGACTACAACTGCACACTTTTTTTAGGACATTACATTTACTGTTGGATGAATACATGGCTACTAGCAGTAGGTATTGTATTTACAGTTAGAAATCTAGTTCATGTGTTTTGAGTTTCCACTTCCTCAGGTGTTGAACCCCAAATTCATTACCCTATGATATTAGTTAGTGCACATAAAGATGTATGTTTTGAGGAAAGGAGTCCTATTTTGACAGTAAAATATAGCAACTATAGTCTTAATTGTCAACCCAAAATTCATGACAATCCCTGGATTAGGTTGCACAAAATATCTTGAGTAATCCCTTCCTGCTTGGATATGTTAGATTAAACAACTTTTTTCTTGAATACCTCGGTAGTCTATTTATTACATTCTTAATAAAGCACTATGAAGGACTTTATTTGGTCGGGGGTTACCAACTGTAAAAGCTAGTGGCACCAGTGACACCAGGGGAAAATATCTGGAGCCCTGTAATAGTAATTCAAATTTAGGGTAGGTGTTGATTCAGGGGAACACATATGACAGGCACTCATTTGCATTTTAAACTGGGTGGTTCGAGCCCTGCTGATTGGCTGACAGCTGTGGTATATCAGACCATATACTGTACCACGGGTATAACAAAATGTATTTGTAGTGCTCTAATTACATTGGTAACCAGTTTATAATAACAATAAGGCACCTCAAAAAAATTAAAATGGCTCAACATACCCTCCTCTCCCCTATGTAAATACAATCGGTGGTTTAAAGACCAATCCGATATGTCAGTAAAAGGTCAATATCGGTCTGGCTCAATTCAATACAATCAGAAGCAGATAAATCACAACAAACCTCAGCCCAGCCTGGACGCGCCTCTTCAGCCTCGTAACTGTAGTCGGACACCCCACCCTCCTCTGGTTCTGGTTCCGGGTCTGGGTCGGGTTCTGGATCCGCGTTCGAGCGGATTGGGTCAGGATCTGGGTTGGGTTCTGAGGGTTCTTGGTCTGGGTCGGGTTGTTTTTGCTGCGACTCAGTGATCTCTGAGGTTTTGAGGTACGAGGTGACCCTGGTTTCTAGCCTGCTTTCTAGCCTGCTCTCCATAGGAAGGGCATTCTCCAAGGAGTTGGGGGGAGTGGGTGAATGAGGTGGCGGGGGCTGGAGGTGCTGGGGCAATGGGGTGCCTCCTCTACTGGGTAAGGCGACACCTGCGGCAGCCTCTCTATCTGGGGGTGCTTGGTGCTCCCTTCCCCCTCCTCTAACTCTCCTCTTCTCTCTGTCTCGGAGCCTCACTACCGCCACCCTGCTGGCTGCCCGGGGAACTGTACCTTGTCTGCTAACACTAGCATTAGTGCCACGTGGGGGAGGTTTGCCGTCTCTCAGAGGGGGTTTGGGCCAGAGTTGGGGGGCACTGACGAGCCCCCTGCCCCCCGCTCCCCCTCCCCCCCTGGATCGAGTGCTCTGGAGGTTGACCAGTCTGGTGGTCTTTCCACTCTGGTACAGAAACACCCCAGGGAAGACTTCTCTCGGGTGACGCGATGCCGGACCCCTGCCCCTCTCCCTCTCCCTCTCCCTCTCCACCCTCCTCTCCTTCTTCTCCTTCTCTCGCTCCCTCTCTTTGACCGGCCGCGGCCTGGTGATGTAGATCTTGTTCTCATCCTTCTTTTCATTGTTGTTGTTGTTGCCGCCGGCTGCGGCGTTATTGTCGTTGCCGCGGTTACGGGCGGCGTTATCATGGAGACGGGCATTAGCAGCGGCGTTGTTGTTGCCGGGGGCGGAGTTACTATGAATCTGCTTGGCGCGGCTGGCAAGGGCCGAGAGAGAGGTCTTCTGGGGGAAGAGCAGGGTCGACTTGCTCAGTTTGGGAGGGGTCTCCCCTCCTGCACCCCCTCCTCCTCCTACCTTCCTGCCCGGCCCCCCTGGTCCTAGCTCAGAGGGACCCATCCTGATCCAGGAGAGGGAGCGACCGTGGACCACATCGTCCGACCGCGGGTGAAGCTCCTCGCTCTCCGCCTCGGGCCTCTCTAGAAGTCCCCTCCTGGAGGTCTGTCCCCCTCTTCTCCTCGGCCTGTCCCTGTCCCACTCTCTGTATGTCTGTCCATCGCTCTTGAGGAAGTGTTTTTTCTCTCTACGGACCACAATGCTGTTCTCCTCCTCCTCCTCCCCCTCTCTTTCTCCAAGGGTGGGCCTGGAGGTGTGGATGGAGAGGCTGGGGTGAGAGGTCCTCTTCGTTGATTGGCTAGGCGAAGCAGTCCTCTTTGGTGATTGGGTACCTACGACCTCAGCCTCATCTTCCGGGTCCACCCCTTCCTCCTCTTCTGGAAAATCTGTGGCAACAGAGAAAGTTAATCGTTAAAGGGTATGTATGTGTGTTGTGTGTGTATATGTGTGTGTGTGTGTGTGTGTGTCAGTGGGTGTGTGTACCTACCGTCTGGGTTAGGGAAGAAGAACGGTCTATCATCGTCCTCCTCATCTATCTTCATGTACTTGTAGAAGCCAAACCTGTCAGAGAGAGAGAGAGAGAGAGCGAGAGAGCGAGAGAGCGAGAGAACGAGAGAGTGAGTGTCATGAGCCTCTCACTCCACCGGGTTACCACCTTAATTTTCTTCCACTCTGCTCACCACTCTCTCTACTCAGCCTAACTAGCTCCACCTGTCCCTGCTCTGCTCTGCTCTAATTACTCTGCCAGCTGCGCTGCATTACCCACTACCTCTCCCAGTATTTAAGGCCCTGTCTTTCAGCTCTCCGGTGTCAGATCGTCTGCAAAGCTCACACCCGGAACCTGTTTGCTCGCGCTTCTGGCTCACCCTGGTTTTGTGACCCCGGACCTGCCTGATTTTTGGATACTCTTCTGCCCCAGGAGATCCAGACCTGCTTCTGCCATTACGACTCCTGACTACTCTTCAATCCCGGTAACTCTGACCAGCCTTCTGCCTTGCTACTACGTATTTTGGATTTCCCTTGAACTGTACTGCTGCCTTGTTTCATTCCGCCCTGTTGTGTCTGTGTCTCCCCCCCCCCCAGGACTTCTGGACCACCCACCACCGGCTTCATAGGACGCATCGCTGCCACTGGGGGGGGCACAGACCCAGCACATTGGACGGGATCCCTGTTACCCCTGGAGCCTTCATTCACTCCCTACTTCCCTTTTCCCTTAAGTTTTAATAAACTTTCTGGTGTGACGCAATTGTGGTCCTCTGGTCGTCTGTCTGAACCGTGACAGTACGATCTGACCATTATGGACTCAGCGCACACTTTCCCCGACATGGAAACCGATGAGCATGAGCAGCAGTTCCAGCAGCAGCAACAACAACTCGCCATGATCATTCAACTCCTCACCAACCTTACCCCAGCCAGTCTGCCCACCAGCCCTGCCCCCGAGTTACCTGCCCCGGTCATTGCAGCCGCTGCTCCGGAACCCAAGATTGGAAACCCCGAGCGGTTCAACGGCGATTCAACCCAGGTCCGGCCATTCCTGACTAGCTGCCGACTTCAGTTCTCCTTGCAGCCAAGGACCTTCGCCACGGAGGGGGCTAAAGTTGGGTATGCCATCACTCACCTGACGGGCCGAGCTCGACTCTGGGGAACAGCAGAGTTCGAACGTCAAACCCCCGCATGTGCAACCTTCGACCTGTTTGCTGAGGAGATGCTGAGGGTGTTTGACCTGGATTCACCAACCGCAGAGGCGTCTCGTGAACTGTTCAGTATTCGACAAGGCAGACGTACTGTCGCAGACCATTCCATCGACTTCCGAACCCTGGCTAGACGAAGTTCTTGGAACACACCATCGTTGGTGGACGCGTTCTTCCATAGTTTGGCTGACTATATCAAGGACGAGTTGGTCTCCCATGAACTGCCTTCCACTCTTGATGAAGCCATCGCACTGACTGTCAGGATCGACAGAAGGATACAGACCCGTCGTCGTGAGAGGGGGCGCCAAGGTCCACCTACTACCGGCATTCGGAGAGATCCGACTGGGCTCCTGTCATCTACTGCCACTCACCCAGGTCAGCTTGATCAGTCTGAGCCTATGGAGATTGGGCGAGCCTCTCTCACTCCTGCAGAGCGCCAGCGCCGCTTCACCTCAAACCTCTGCCTCTATTGTGGAGGTGATGGACATCGTGTGGTAACCTGCCCTTTAAAGGGCCGAAGCTCACCGGGCATAGGGGGAGTCCGGTTGAGTTCAATGACCATCCAGTCCTCCGACCGCAAACCCCTGCTGCAAGTTCACCTCCGCCTCTCTGACTCAACTCACACCCTGGCTGCTCTGGTGGATTCTGGCGCCGAAGCCAACATAATGGACATCAAGCTGGCACGCCAACTGGGACTGGAGAACCTCCATTTGACACCTCCTATTCCTGCCCGGGCACTGGACGGACACTTACTCGGATCGGTCACTCATGTCACGGCCCCGGTCTCGATGGGTCTGTCCGGAAACCATCAAGAAACTATCCAGTTTCACCTGCTCCCCTCTCCAGGCCAACCCCTCATCCTGGGTTACCCATGGCTCCGCCGGCACAACCCTCAGCTCGACTGGGTGACCGGGGTGATCAGGGAGTGGGGAGAGGACTGCCACCGAACCTGCCTGCTTGCTGCCGCACTACCCCCTCGGCCAGTACCTACTGACTCCGCTCCTGACCTCTCCAATGTCCCAGAATGCTACCATGGTCTCAGAGAGGTGTTTAACAAAGCAAGAGCCACATCTCTGCCCCCTCACCGACCGTACGACTGTGCCATCGACCTCCTCCCTGGTACAGCCCCTCCAAAGGGTCGTCTTTATTCGTTGTCTGCTCCTGAAAGAAAGTCCATGGAGGACTACATCAATGGCTCTCTGTCCGCAGGATTAATCCGGTCATCTTCATCTCCTGCTGGTGCTGGCTTCTTCTTTGTGGGGAAGAAGGACGGATCTCTTCGCCCCTGCATCGACTACAGGGGACTCAACGACATCACAGTGAAGAACCGTTACCCTCTGCCTCTGCTCACCTCTGCTTTTGAGTTGCTCCAGGGAGCCACTGTTTTTACCAAGTTGGATCTCAGAAACGCTTACCACCTAGTGCGGATCCGGGAGGGAGATGAATGGAAAACCGCATTCAATACACCAACAGGCCACTACGAGTATCTGGTTATGCCTTTTGGCCTCACCAATGCTCCTGCTGTGTTCCAGGCTCTAGTGAATGATGTACTGCGGGACATGTTAAACAAGTTTGTCTTCGTTTACCTGGATGACATCTTAATCTACTCCAGAAACCTGTCTGAACACACCCGCCATGTCCAGCAAGTCCTTCATCGTCTTCTGGAGAATTCCCTCTACGCCAAGGCAGAGAAATGTGAGTTTCACGTCAAGACAGTGGCCTTCCTGGGGTACATAGTGGCAGAGGGAAGTATCCAAATGGATCCTGCCAAAGTATCAGCAGTCACTTCATGGCCAGTTCCGGAGAACAGAAAGAAGCTGCAACAGTTTCTGGGGTTTGCTAACTTCTATAGAAAGTTTATCCGGAACTACAGTACCGTTGCTGCCCCTCTCACTGCTCTAACCAGCACCAAGCAACCCTTCACCTGGACCCCAGCAGCCGACAAGGCCTTCAGTACCCTCAAGGTGAGGTTCACCTCCGCTCCCATCCTCCAGATGCCTGATGTGGACCGGCAATTCATTGTGGAGGTGGACGCCTCGGATGTGGGAGTTGGTGCTGTGATTTCTCAGTGGGCTGCGGAGGATAGGAAGCTCCATCCCTGTGCCTTTTTCTCACGTCGGTTGTCCCCCTCTGAGTGCAATTACGACATAGGGAACCGTGAGCTGCTGGCTGTGAAGCTTGCCTTGGAGGAGTGGCGTCACTGGCTGGAGGGGTCCACCATTCCATTTCTCGTTTGGACCGATCATAAGAACTTGGAGTACATCCGCACGGCCAAACGGTTGAACTCCAGGCAGTCCCGCTGGGCCCTGTTCTTCACCAGGTTTAATTTCACTCTGTCATACCGGCCTGGATCACGCAACACCAAGCCAGACGCCCTCTCCCGTCAATTCCAGAAGGATGACACCCCCTCCAAGGACCCTGTGTCGATTCTGCCAAGTCCCTGCATCGTTGCAGCTCTGACCTGGGCTGTTGAGGAACAGGTGCTGGAGGCTCTCCGTAACCAGCCAGGTCCCAGCACTTGCCCAGCTGACCGCCTTTTTGTCCCCGAAGACCTGAGGTCCCAGGTCGTTCAGTGGGGACATGACTCCCGCCTAGCTTGTCACCCTGGCTCCACCCGCACTTACAACCTGCTCGCCCAGAGGTTCTGGTGGCCCTCTCTGAGAAAGGATGTACGGGAATTCGTCCAAGCCTGCCCCATCTGCAACCAACACAAGTCGTCCTGCCAGCCCCCAGCCGGATTGCTGCAGCCCCTGCCTGTGCCCAGACGTCCCTGGTCTCACATCGCCCTTGACTTTGTCACGGGGCTGCCCCCTTCAAGTGGCATGACCGTCATTCTCACCATCGTTGACCGTTTCAGCAAGATGGCACACTTCATTCCCCTCCCCAAGCTCCCAACCGCCAAGGAGACCGCCCAGGTGGTCCTGGAACACGTCTTCCGGATCCACGGACTGCCTAAGGATGTAGTTTCTGACCGTGGTCCACAATTCTCCTCCGCTTTTTGGAAGGAGTTCTGTCACCTGCTGGGAGCCACAGTCAGTCTGACTTCCGGATTCCATCCCCAATCCAATGGGCAGTCAGAGCGGGCTAATCAGGAGCTCGAGAAGGCACTGCGATGCATGACTTCACGCAACCCCCACTCCTGGTCGCAGCAATTGACATGGGTGGAGTACGCACACAATTCTCTGACCTGCTCTGCCATCGGTATGTCCCCTTTCCAATGTGTTTATGGATACCAGCCTCCTCTATTTGCCAGCCAGGAAGAGGAGGTTACTTGCCCATCTGCACTTGCTTTTGCCCGTCGATGTCGCCGCACCTGGTCACAAGCCCGAGCCACACTCCTCAGATCCGTTGCCAGCTACACTACCGGGGCCAACCGTCGGAGAATTCCTGCTCCCACCTACCATGTTGGTCAAAGGGTGTGGTTGTCATCGAAGAACCTGCCACTCAGGGTGGAGTCGCAGAAGCTGGCACCTCGGTTCATTGGCCCATTCCCTATCATAAGAGTGATTAGCCCAACTGCTGTCCGGCTCCAACTGCCTAATTCCCTGAGGGTGCACCCCACTTTCCATGTGTCTAAGATTAAGCCCATCCATGAGAGTCCGCTGGTCCCTGCTGCGCCTTGTCCTCCTCCTCCACGGCTCGTCGATGGTGGTCTGGTTTACACCGTCCGCCGCCTGCTTCGGTCCAGACGGAGGGGTAGGGGTCTCCAGTACCTCATTGACTGGGAGGGCTATGGACCTGAGGAAAGGACCTGGGTGCCAGCTAGTCGGATTGTGGATAGGACTCTCATCACCGCTTTCCACCAACGGCATCCTGATCAACCTGCAATCCGTAGGGGCCGCCCCAGAGGGGTCCCTAACCGTCCTGCCCGCTCGGCTTCCTGTCCTGTGCCTGATCCTGTCTCGGGACCTGTCCCATCTCCCGACCACGGCCCTCCGGCTTCCTCCGAGGATGAGGACGTTCACTCGGACCGTTCGGAGGAGTTCTAGCCCTCCTCCGGCTCCCCTCCTCCCGCCCGGCGTGGTGTTGCTCTTGGGACTTCTGGGGCCGTCCCTTGGGGGGGGGGTTCTGTCATGAGCCTCTCACTCCACCGGGTTACCACCTTAATTTTCTTCCACTCTGCTCACCACTCTCTCTACTCAGCCTAACTAGCTCCACCTGTCCCTGCTCTGCTCTGCTCTAATTACTCTGCCAGCTGCGCTGCATTACCCACTACCTCTCCCTGTATTTAAGGCCCTGTCTTTCAGCTCTCCGGTGTCAGATCGTCTGCAAAGCTCACACCCGGAACCTGTTTGCTCGCGCTTCTGGCTCACCCTGGTTTTGTGACCCCGGACCTGCCTGATTTTTGGATACTCTTCTGCCCCAGGAGATCCAGACCTGCTTCTGCCATTACGACTCCTGACTACTCTTCAATCCCGGTAACTCTGACCAGCCTTCTGCCTTGCTACTACGTATTTTGGATTTCCCTTGAACTGTACTGCTGCCTTGTTTCATTCCGCCCTGTTGTGTCTGTGTCTCCCCCCCCCCCAGGACTTCTGGACCACCCACCACCGGCTTCATAGGACGCATCGCTGCCACTGGGGGGGGCACAGACCCAGCACATTGGACGGGATCCCTGTTACCCCTGGAGCCTTCATTCACTCCCTACTTCCCTTTTCCCTTAAGTTTTAATAAACTTTCTGGTGTGACGCAATTGTGGTCCTCTGGTCGTCTGTCTGAACCGTGACAGTGAGAGAGCGAGAGAGCGAGAGAGAGCGACAATTAGCACACAGATATACACAGCCGTCTAATAATACACCCAACTAAGTGTTTGTCTTTTTCTCTTCTCTCTTTTCTGTTTTATATATTTTTTTGTTTGTATTTCTCAATCTATGATTTTGAGAGAGGTTACATTTCTCCATCTTCATCCTTCCAAACCGAGTGGCGGAGCTGCAGGCATATTCAACTTGATTTGCTTCCATCTGTGAATTACAATATAATAATCAACTGAATGTGGAAAATAGCCAACAGTACTTACTTCTCCAGGTAGATGGGTGACTCCCTGTAGAAACACTTGTTCTCTCTCTCCATGTGTGTCAGACGTGTAAAGTCATTGGGATAAATAAAGGACAGGTACACCTGAGGAAGAGACAAACAGGGACAGGTCAGTGAATAAAGACAAAATAAAAGTACAGAACTAATAGATACAGTGCTAATAACATGGATGGATAAATACTGATACAGGGTCCTGTTCATTAAGGCAAACGTTTGCAAAGGAAAATGAAAATGAGCATTTCTTATTGGACAAGTCCCGGTAGTCTGTTTTTATCCCATGAATATGACCCTGGTATTCCTTCCTCTAAAAATATGATCTTTATCTGTTACTAATCTTTTGGTGTAAAACACACTTTGACCTAAAAAGAGCAACACCCAGCCCTAGGGGTTTTGTTCAGAGCAGTCTTCAATACAGAAGAGGAAGTAGAGAAGCTTTAAATGCCACACCAGTAGAAATCCACTTTTTCGAGTTGAAAGACGATGGCCAGAGCTTACCCATGATGTTGCACAACAATGTAAGTCAATAAGTAATCATATTAGTGAAAGTATGATATATTTGGGCTTGAAGTGACAAAACCGAACTGCCTGCTTCATGCACATTCGTGCCAATGACGTGGCTTTTCCTCTGAAATTATGTATAAATTATATTTCGTCTACGTTTCGTTTGAAGGCTGGGTTTTATTTGAATGGTACCACCCACCAGCATGGCATTGTTTATTAATCAGAAACACCTGCAAAGTTTGCGAGTCTCGACTGAGCTGAGCAATATAATAGATCATCTTTGGCTATAGCAAAGATGGTGGATAAATGAAGATAGTTCACTTTTAACATTTACCAAATGTTAAGTTCCGGACTACTTAACGGGGTGGGTCTCCCACAGACACCAATGCAATAGCAGCTGGGTCTTGTCTACTTAGTTCATTGACTTTCATTGAACCAGAAACAAACTGTATCGCTTCCTCTTCAGTCTCTGGCTACAGCTTTTCGCCTTAGCCTACACAAAAACTAATGTTTTTGCACCTCCCCTTTTTTAAACGCAAAACCATTATCATAATCTATTGGAAAAGTGTCAAATGTAACTGATTTTTTAGCTAGTCTGCATGAAAAAAATATAAGACCATTTTAGAAATAGTAAAATTGCGTGGTATGATTGCATTTTAGAACCCCGCTCCCCCCGTAGCCCCAAGATGAATGGTTTTGACCACAAATGTTTTAGGCAAATTCGTTTTGCATGGCCCGGTGCCCCGGGTGTGCATGGTTTGCTCATTTTCGACCAATCCGTTGATAATCCGTTGATCCTAAAGAGAAATCTCCCCCCACCCGGGGCATTGGGCCAATGGTTCAATAGTTAGTCTATCCATATTACCAGAGTTCACAGTATATTTTCTTACAATTTAGATAATCTGGTAATATCTGAAACTTGGTTAAATAAATAAGACTGTGCCGGATACTGCTGTGTCTCTGATTGGTTATAATGTTTATACAGTGCCTTGCAAAAGTATTCATCCCCCTTGGTGTTTTTACTATTTTGTTGCATTACAACCTGTCATTTAAATTGATTTTTATTTGGATTTCATGTAATGGATATTCACAAAATAGTCCAAATTGGTGAAAAAATTCAAAAAAATAAATAACGGAAAAGTGGTGCGTGCATATGTATTCACCCCCTTTGCTATGAAGCCCCGAAATAAGAGCTGGTGCAACCAATTAACTTCAGAAGTCACTTTATTAGTTAAATAAAGTCCACCTGTGTGCAATCTAAGTGTCACATGATCTGTCACATGATCTCAGTATATATACACCTGTTCTGAAAGGCCCCAGAGTCTGCAACATCACTAAGCAAGGGGCACCACCAAGCAAGCAGCACCATGAAGACCAAGGAGCTCTCCAAACAGGTCAGGGACAAAGTTGTGGAGAAGTACAGATCAGGGTTGGGTTATAAGAAAATATCCGAAACTTTGAACATCCCACGGAGCACCATTAAATCCATTATTCAAAAATGGAAAGAATATGGCACCACAACAAACCTGCCAAGAGAGGGCCGCCCACCAAAACTCATGGACCAGGCAAGGAGGGCATTAATCAGAGAGACAACAAAGAGATCAAAGATAACCCTGAAGGAGCTGCAAAGCTCCACTGCGGAGATTGGAGTATCTGTCCATAGGACCACTTTAAGCTGTACACTCCACAGAGATGGGCTTTATGGAAGAGTGGCCAGAAAAAAAGCCATTGCTTAAAGTAAAAAATAAGCAAACACGTTTGGTGTTCGCCAAAAGCCATATGGAAGAAGGTACTCTGGTCAGATGATACTAAAATTGAACTTTTTGTCCATCAAGGAAAACGCTGGCACAAACCCAACACCTCTCATCACCCAGAGAACACCATCCCCACAGTGAAGCATGGTGGTGGCAGCATCATGCTGTGGGGATGTTTTTCATCGGCAGGGACTGGGAAACTGGTCAGAATTGAAGGAATGATGGATGGCGCTAAATACAGGGAAATTCTTCAGGGAAACATGTTTCAGTCTTCCAGAGATTTGAGACTGGGTCGGAGGTTCACCTTCCAGCAGGACAATGACCCTATGCATACTGCTAAAGCAACACTCAAGTGGTTTAAGGGAAAACATGTAAATGTCTTGGAATGGCCTAGTCAATGCCCAGACCTCATTCCAATTGAGAATCTGTGGTATAACTTAAAGATTGCTGACCAGTTTCCCAGTCCCTGCCAATGAAAAGCATCCCCACAGCATGATGCTGCCACCACCATGCTTCAATGTGGGGATGGTGTTCTCGGGGTGATGAGAGGTGTTGGGTTTGCGCCAGACATTTTCCTTGATGGCAAAAAAGCTCAATTTTAGTCTCATCTTACCAGAGTACCTTCTTCCATATGTTTGGGGAGTCTCCCACATGCCTTTTGGCGAACAGCAAATGTGTTTGCTTATTTTTTTCTTTAAGCAAAGGCTTTTATCTGGCCCCTCTTCCGTAAAGCCCAGCTCTGTGGAGTGTACAGCTTAAAGTGGTCCTATGTACAGATACTCCAATCTCCGCTGTGGAGCTTTGCAGCTCCTTCAGGGTTATCTTTGGTCTCTTTGTTGCCTCTCTGATTAATGCCCTCCTTGCCTGGTCCGTGCCGCTTGCTTGGTGGTGCCCCTTGCTTAGTGGTGTTGCAGACTCTGGGGCCTTTCAGACAGGAGTATATATATATCTCGAGATAATAATATAAAAATAATATGCCATTTAGCAGACACTTTTATCCAAAGCGACTTACAGTCATGTGTGCATACATTTTTACGTATGGGTGGTCCCGGGGATCGAACCCACTACCCTGGCATTACAAGCGCCATGCTCTACCAATTGAGCTACAGCTGCTTGGTGGTGCCCCTTGCTTAGTGATGTTGCAGACTCTGGGGCCTTTCAGAACAGGTGTATATATACTGAGATCATGTGACTGATCATGTGACACTTAGATTGCACAAAGGTGGACTTTATTTAACTAATTATGTGACTTCTGAAGGTTATTGGTTGCACCAGATCTTATTTAGGTGCTTCATAGAAAAGGGGGTTAATACATTTGCACGCACCACTTTTCCGTTATTTCTTTTTTCAATATTTTTTAAACAAGTTATTTTTTTAATTTCACTTCACCAATTTGGACTATTTTGTGTATGTCCATTACATGAAATCCAAATAAAATCAATTTAAATGACAGGTTGTAATGCAACAAAATAGGAGAAGTTACCCATTTTAAAACTGACTGTAGCTCTATGTTAAAGGTATCAGTTATTTATTTTACTGTTGCAGCCGACGTGTATACTGTTGAGTCGTCAGCGTACATAGACACACAGGTTTTATTCAAGGTCAGTGGAAGGTCATTAGTAAAAACAGAAAACAATAATGGCCCTATCCGGCTGTACTGTGGTACACCACACTCAACTGAATATCCGGCTCCCATTAATGAAAACCCTCTGTTCTATTAGATAGGTAACTCTCAATCCATTATAGTCACTCACCACCTTCCGGAGACATTTGAAACCCCACCTCTTTAAGGAATACCTGGGATAGGATAAAGTAATCCTTCTACCCCCCCCCCCCCAAAAAAAAAAAAAATTAATAAAAATAATAATATATATTGTAAAGTGGTTATGCCACTGGCTATAAGGTAAATGCACCAATTTGTAAGTCGCTCTGGAGAGCGTCTGCTAAATGACGTAAATGTAAATGTAAAATTATAAGGCAGAGGATGCAAATCCATAATACCTATGTTTTTTTCAGCAATAGGTTATGTATGATCAATGACATCAAAAGCTGCACTGAAGTCTAACAAAACAAGTCCCATAATCTTCTTACTATCAATTTCTTTCAGCCAATCATCAGTAATTTGTGTCAGTGCTGAGCATGTTGAGTGCCCTTCCCTATAAGTATGCTGAAAGTCTGTTGTTAATTAGTTTTCTGTAAAATATAGTAACTTTGTAAATTATTTGTATTATAATTAATATTGTATGTATTATATTATAATTATTAATATTAAATTATTATATTATATGTTATCAAACTACATTTTTTCCAAAAGTTTGCTAAGCACTTGTAACAGGCTGATTGGTTGGCTGTTTGAACCATTAAAGGGTGCTATGCTATTCTTGGGTAGCGGAATGACCTTTGCCTCCCTCCATGTCTGAGGGCACATACGGTCATCTAGGCTTAAATTGAAGATGTTGCAATGTATTCTGCTACCAACCTCAGCATTTTACCATCCAGGTTGTCAGAACCAGGTGGTTTGTCCATATTTATAGATAGCAAACAAAAACAAAACAAAAAACTATTCCACACCCACTTTGTGGAACTCAAAACTACAGTGCTTGTCTTTCATTATTTGGTCCGTTATGCATGACAATGAAGGCTCAGCATTTGTTGTTTGCATGTCAAGTTTGATAATCTTGTCAACAAAAAAGTTATTAAAGTGGTTGGCAATATCAAAAGGTTTTGTTATGAAGGAGTTTGCTTTTTTGCCTAGAATTTCATTTAAAGTACTCCAGAGCTTTTTACTATAATTCTTTATATAATTTATCTTTGTTCCATAATGTAGTTTCTTCTTCTTTTAGTTTAGTTACGTGATTTCTCAATGTACTGTATGTTTGCCAGTCTGCTATGTTGTCAGAATTATTTGCTATTTTATTTGCCTCTTCCCTCGCAGCCATCTATGGGGATTTGGAAGTTCTAACAGTCAGTTTCTTGATGGGTGCATGCCTACCAGTAACCGAAATAAGTAGTTTCATAAATGCTTCAAGTGCGGCGTCAGGTTGTTCCTCATAACACACATCAGACTAACAAATATTTTTCCCATCTTCGACATAGGAATCATTGCTAAACCTCTTGTGTGATCGTTTATACAATATCTTAGATCCAGCCTTTGGAACTTTGTTTTTTCTAGATATGGCTATTATATTATGATCACTACATCCGATGGGTGTGGATACTACTTTAGAGAAGATTTCTGCAGCATTAGTAATGTGATCAATACACGTGGATGATTTAGTTCCTGTTCTGTTTGTAAATAGTAGTTTGACTGATAACCTGAACCAGATTGCAGGAATTGGTTACAACTTGGCGCTTCTTTTTTAGTGGACACCTTGATGACAACCAGTCAATATTTAGGTCACCCAGAATATATACCACTCTGATGATATCATATACATTTAAGTGATAATGCCCAAGAATCAGTTGTTTGGAGGATATATCGGCACATGTGTTGTTAGGCCCGAGACAAAGTCCAAACACCGGCTTCGAGGGCATTATCAATTTTATACAACGGTTTAGCAACATATTCAAATAATGATTGACATATCTTCATAAAAAACATTATTTTAATGATTTTATTCATACTATTTCATCCTTCCACAAGATATAGTCCCGACACAAATCCAGGGTTGCTACCCAAGCCGGCTAGTCGTTTGTTCTTTCGGTTTGGTTGCCAGAGATGCGACCCAGTCGTTCAGTCTTTTTGTTCTGTATCTGTGGACGCGACCCAGTCGTTTGTTCTAAATGTTCCATTGCCATACTGGGAGGCAACATTCTTATCCCTTGTTTGCTAGCTAGCCAACTACAGCTAACTTACAGTCATGTCAAAAAGCCAGAATAACAGCAAAGTAGCCCCATTTGTTTAAGTTGTTTTCTAGTGACATTTATTTGGATACATGCATAACAATGAGCTGATGAGGAGCGATTTCGCCAGCATAGAAAATGTGCTTACTCGTCTGGGCACTGTTGTTCAGAGGAGCAAGCCAACAACACAGCTAACATAATCGCTTCAAACTGAAGCTGGAAAGACTGCAAACGTTTTACCTTTTTTGAATTGACATTTCTTTATATACAGTTGAAGTCGGAAGTTTACATACACCTTAGCCAAATACATTTAAACTCAGTTTTTCACAATTCCTGACAAAAATTTCCCTGTCTTAGTTCAGTTAGGATCACCACTTTATTTTAAGAATGTGAAATGTCAGAATAATAGTAGAGAGTGATTTATTTCAGCTTTTATTTCTTTCATCACATTCCCAGTGGGTCAGAAGTTTACATACACTCAATTAGTATTTGGTAGCATTGCCTTTAAATTGTTTAACTTGGGTCAAACGTTTCGGGCAGCCTTCCACAATAACTTGGGTGAATTTTGGCCCATTCCTCCTGACAGAGCTGGTGTAACTGAGTCAGGTTTGTTAGCCTCCTTGCTCGCAAAAGCTTTTTCAGTTCTGCCCACACATTTTCTATAGGATTGAGGTCAGGGCTTTGTGATGGCCACTCCAATACCTTGACTTTGTTGTCCTTAAGCCATTTTGCCACAACTTTGGAAGTATGCTTGGGGTCATTGTCCATTTGGAAGACCCATTTGCGACCAAGCTTTAACTTCCTGACTGATGTCTTGAGATGTTGCTTCAATATATCCACATAATTTTCCTTCCTCATGATGCCATCTATTTTGTGAAGTGCACCAGTCCCTCCTGCAGCAAAGCACCCCCACAGCATGATGCTGCCACCCCCATGCATCACGGTTCGGATGGTGTTCTTCGGCTTGCAAGCTGCCCCCTTGTTCCTCCAAACATAACGATGGTCATTATGGCTAAACAGTTCTATTTTGTTTCATCAGAACAGAGGACATTTCTCCAACAAGTATTATCTTTGTCCCCATGTGCAGTTGCAAACCGTAGTCTGGCTTTTTTATGGCGGTTTTGGAGCAGTGGCTTCTTCCTTGCTGAGCGGCCTTTCAGGTTATGTCGATATAGGACTCGTTTTACTGTGGATATAGATACTTTTGTACCTGTTTCCTCCAGCATCTTCACAAGGTCCTTTGCTATTGTTCTGGGATTGATTTGCACTTTTCACACCAAAGTACGTTAATCTCTAGGAGACAGAACGCGTCGCCTTCCTGAGCGGTATGATGGCTGCATGGTCCCATGGTGTTTATACTTGCATACTATTGTTTGTACAGATGAACGTGGTGCCTTCAGGCGTTTGGAAATTGCTCCCAAGGATGAACCAGACTTGTGGAGGTCTACAATTTTTTTTCTGAGGTCTTGGATGATTTCTTTAGATTTTCCCATGATGTCAAGCAAAGAGGCACTGAGTTTGAAGGTAGGCCTTGAAATACATCCACAGGTACACCTCCAATTGACTCAAATGATGTCAATTAGCCTATCAGAAGCTTCTAAAGCCATGACATCATTTTCTGTAATTTTCCAAGCTATTGAAAGGCACAGTCAACTTAGTGTATGTAAACTTCTGACCCACTGGAATTGTGATACAGTGAATTATAAGTGAAATCATCTGTCTGTAAACAATTGTTGGAAAAATTACTTGTGTCATGCACAAAATAGATGTCCTAACCGACTTGACAAAACTATAGTTTGTTAACAAGAAATTTGTGGAGTGGTTGAAAAACGAGTTTAAATGACTCCAACCTAAGTGTATGTAAACATCCGACTTCAACTGTATATCCATACAAATTATGCCAGCTGATTCATGACTTTGACTGGCTGAGAAACGCTGCCTGACAGTCTGTCTCGTCCCAACTCCCGTCCCAACTAACTAAATGTTAGTCTAAAAGAAATGTGAGATAATGTCTAGATCAGGGTTCTTCAATTCCGGTCCTGGAGGGCCGAAACACCTCTGTTTTTCATCCTCTCCTTCTAATCAGGGGCTAATTCAGACCTGGGACACCAGGTGAGTGCAATTAACTACCAGGTAGAAATAAAAAACTGAAGTGTTTCGGCCCTCCAGGACCGGAATTGAAGAACCCTGGTCTAGATGCTTTTTCTAGTGGAGATCAAGTTTATAAATTGCCTGGCTGGGCTGAAGAGACAGTGAATTGCCCAGTCAAATGGAACAGAGTAAATAGCATTTTAATGTCATAAAGTTAGCCGGTGGTAACTTGTGGAATAGACACCAGCTGGAATACAGTTTTAACCAATCAGCATTCAGGATTAGACCCACCCGTTGTACAATATACAGCATTTCACACATTTAGTCCAAATACTGACTTTTAGCACGCAGTGGTCTATAGCAACTTCCTACGAGAATAGTCTTTAGCTGAGGCAGATGAACCTGTAGCCATATTCCTTCTACATCATCTGACATGGAATATGACTCTGGACATACATAGCAACACCTCTTACATTTTTACTATATATTCTATAGCCATGTATAGCTACTACTGCATCATCAAATCAATGATCTAAGTGTGTTTCAGAGATGGCCAGAACATGAATGTTTTCTGATGTTAATAATTTGTCAATTTCATGAACCTTTCCTGAAATTTCATGTGCTCCTGAGTGGCGCAGCAGTCTAAGGCACTGCATCTCAGTGCTTGAGGCGTCACTACAGACCCCCTGGTTCGATTCCAAGCTGTATCACAACCGGCCGTGATTGGGAGTCCCATAGGGTGGCGCACAATTGGCCCAGCGTCGTCCGGTGTAGGCCGTCATTGTAAATATTAATTTGTTCTTAACTGACTTGCCTAGTTAAATAAAGGTTAAAAAAACTTGTTTCTCAGGCTACATATGTTAATATGGGCTATTTACAGTCCTTTTCTGGGTTGCTTGTTTGCTTTTAGTGCTATTCTGAGAGGCTAATCCGAGGTAGACATGTCAGTGACATTTTCATTTGAGTACTGAGTGGGCTGCACACAGTGTGCTTCTTCCTAAGGCAGACAGTTTCAGTGCAAACAGTGGAATTCTATGTGCATATGGTTATTGCAGACAATACCGTCGGAGCCTAACAGTTAAAGGAACATAAATTAGGTTACTTACATTCACTGCACTTCTATTTCTCTGGGATATAATACGATTAGCATGTTCTCTGTTGCTTGTTATGACGGCGAGGCCTGGAACGCTACCAAACCCAGACCGTACGTCTCTTAAGCAGTTCGCTATGGTGATGGAGATAATCCTGGAACCCCTGTGGTTAGGGTGAATCCCATCTCTTATGAAGAGTGTTGGTTGCTCCCACAGCAAGTCAAAATTGTCACAAAAGGAGACATTCCTGTCTTTGCAGAGTTTCTTAAGGAACTCGTTTAGGGCAGTGACGTTCCAAAGCCCTTCTATAGCACGGCAGGGGGCCAGAGATCACAGTTCTCTTCCCTGTGCCAACAAGGGTGTTCAAGAGAATGTTGTAGTCCTTCAGTTTCTCAGATTGCCGAAAGCGAATGTTGTTAAATCCAACATGAGTGACAATGGTGCCAATATTAGAGTAGTTGGCTAGAACTGTGGGCAGGAGGGAGGAGGTGTGCTTCGACTCATGCCAGCCTGACTCACCGCACATGTACCAGTAACAGCGGATGGCGTCGGAATCCTCGGGGAGGTGGAGGATGGCTCAACACCTTGCTTCCTTTGGTCAGCGACCGGCTGAGCTGTGGAGCAGGGTGCCCCTGGACGGCTGCTAGCTGTTGGTGTACTCCCAGAATCAGAGATGACTGCCAGGGCTGGTATGTCCGCCTCAAGCGGGGCAAAGCTGTTTAATAGCTGGATCGGATCTTCTAGGCTATATGGAGGCCACCCGACCTCCTACGCGTTGCCAGTGTCTAGTCTCCCACTGGCCGCGGAGTTGAGTTTACCATCTGTCCAGTGGATTGGAGCAGGTCAGCACCTCCTGACTCATCGACCCATTGGCTGTAGGAGGCCTTCAGAACTGAGATTCTGTGTGCCTGAGCTACTTAGAAAGCACATCTGGTTTTCAACTTTGATTGAGAAACTATTTCATATAAGCATTTTCCGTAAAAACAAACCAAGTGTAGGAGACACCCTATCTCTCTCACAAACAAACAATCGCATACACACCCATTCACAGCATGTTTCAAGCTCTCATGTTTCTAGCATGTTTCACAGGGAATACTCACACCCACACACAGACATGCCCACACACAGAAACACACACAATGTGTGACCATCTGTCTACCATCTGTCTACCATCTGTCATCTGTCTACAGCTTATTTGAGCTGTTCTTGCCATAATATGGACTTGGTCTTTTACGAAATAGGGCTATCTTCTGTATACCACCCCTACCTTGTCACAACACAACTGATTGGCTCAAACGCATTAAGGAAAGACATTCCACAAATTAACTTTTAACAAGGCACATCTGTTATTTGAAATGCATTCCACGTGACTACCTCATGTAGCTGGTTGAGAGAATGCCACGACTGTGCAAAGCTGTACTGCTATGCCCTCCGACGAACCATCAAACAGGCAAAGAGTCAATACAGCACTAAGATTGAAATCGTACTACACCGGCTCTGACGCTCGTCGGATGTGGCAGGGCTTGAAAACTATTACAGACTACAAAGGGAAGCACAGCCGCGAGCTGCCCAGTGACACAAGCCTACCAGACGAGCTAGATCACTTCTATGCTCGCTTCGAGGCAAGCAACACTGAAGCATGCATGATAGCATCAGCTGTTCCGGATGACTATGTGATCACGCTCTCTGTAGCCGTTGTGAGTAAGACTTTTAAGCAGGTCAACATTCACAAGGCCGCAGGGCCAGACGGATTACCAGGACGTGTACTCCGAGCATGCGGTGACCAACTGGCAAGTGTCTTCACTGACATTTTCAACATGTCCCTGACTGAGTCTGTAATACCAACATGTTTCAAGCAGACCACCATAGTCCCTGTGCCCAAGAACACTAAGATAACCTGCCTAAATGACAACCGACCCGTAGCACTCACGTCTGTAGCCATGAAGTGCTTTGAAAGGCTGGTCATGGCTCACATCAACACCATTATCCCAGAAACCCTAGAACCACTCCAATTTGCATGCCGCCCCAACAGATCCACAGATTATGCAATCTCTATTGCACTCCACACTGCCCTTTCTCACCTGGACAAGATGAACACCTACGTGAGAATGCTATTCATTGACTACAGCTCAGCGTTCAACACCATAGTGCCCTCAAAGCTCATCACTAAGCTAAGGACCCTGGGACTAAACACCTCCCTCTGCAACTGGATCATGGACTTCCTGACGGGCCGCCCCCAGGTGGTAAGGGTAGGTAACAACACATCTGCCACGCTGATCCTCAACACGGGGGCCCCTCAGGGGTGCGTGCTCAGTCCCCTCCTGTACTCCCTGTTCACCCATGACTGCATGGCCAGGCACGATTCCAACACCATCATTAAGTTTGCCGACGACACAACAGTGGTAGGCCTGATCACCGACAATGATGAGCCTATAAGGAGGAGGTCAGCGACCTGGCCGTGTGGTGCCAGGATAACAACCTCTCCCCCAACGTGATCAAGACAAAGATGATTGTGGACTACAGGAAAAAAAAGAGGACTGAGCACGTCCCCATTCTCATTGACGGGGCTGTAGTGGAACAGGTTGAGAACTTCAAGTTCCTTGGTGTCCACATCACCAACAAACTATCATGGTCCAAACACACCAAGACAGTCGTGAAGAGGGCACGACAAAGCCTATTCCCCCTCAGGAGACCGAAAAGATTTGGCATGGGTCCTCAGATCCTCCAAAAGTTCTACAGCTGCACCATCGAGAGCATCCTGAATGGTTGCATCACCGCCTGGTATGGCAACTGCTCGGCCTCCGACCACAAGGCACTACAGAGGGTAGTGCGTATGGCCCAGCACATCACTGGGCCCAAGCTTCCTACCATCCAGGACCTCTATACCAGGCGGTGTCAGAGGAAGGCCCTAAAAATTGTCAAAGACTCCAGTCACCCTAGTCATAGACTGTTCTCTCTGCTACCGCACGGCAAGTCTAGGTCCAAATGGCTTCTTAACAGCTTCTACCCCCAAGCCATAAGACTCCTGAACAGCTAAACATTGCTACCCAGACTATTTGCATTGCCTCCCCACCCCACCCCACCCCAATCGCCTCTTTTACGCTGCTGCTACTCTGTTTATTATTTATGCATAGTCAATTTAACTCTACCCACATGTACATATTACCTCAATTACCTCGACTAACCTGCTGCCCCCACACATTGACTCTGTTCCGGTACCCCCTGTATATAACCTCCCTACTGTTATTTTATTTTACTGCTGCTCTTTAATTATTTGCTATTTTGATTTGTTTAACACCTTTTTGGTTACTACATGATTCCATATGTGTAATTTCATAGTTTTGATGTATTCACTATTATTCTACAATGTAGAAAATAAATAAAAAATTAATAAATATGCCATTTAGCAGACGCTTTTATCCAAAGCGACTTACAGTCATGCGTGCATACTTTTTTTTTGTGCATGGGTGGTCCCGGGGATCGAACCCACTACCTTGGCGTTACAAGTGCCGTGCTCTACCAGCTGAGCTACAGAGGACCATCTGATTAGTATAAATAAAGACAAACCCTTGAATGAGTAGGTGTGTCCAAACTTTTGACCGGTACTGTAGGTGGACATGCGCACATCCACATGCACATGCACACAGGCACGCACTTATGCATACTCACACACCCACGCACAGTGCTGGAGGGCTGACTTACAAACTGTAGGCCCTGGTATCTGGCTATGGGGAAGTCTTTGACGACGTAGGTCGGGGAGTAGAGACAGGCTGGCAGCACGTTCTCCAGACGAGATGCCTGGATCATAGGGGCTAGAGAGAGGGAGGGAGGGAGGACGAGAGAGAGGGAGAGAGAGAGGTGAGCAAATAATATTTAGAATATGCATATATGAAATGTATTTTTAAAAAGACAGAGACTGCGCTCCACTGTCTATACTAGAATGCATACTCTAAAAACACTTTTCTGAACCAACACTTGCACTTGAATCCCCCCCATTTCTAGCTCTGACTTTGCTAATAGCTACTTTATTGAGGAAAAGTGTACTTACTATGCCTGTGATATGTGGTTGTCCCACCTAGCTATCTTAAGATGAACTAACTATAAGTCACTCTGGATAAGAGCATCTGCTAAAATGTACAATTGCTTCATTGTAAGTGGTATGCAAATGGATACTGGAATAGAGCCATGATGGTGTTTCTAGAAAAATGAAAAATAGGGTAAGATAAAGAGAGAAACAGACCGTCAGAGAGAGATGTGCATGGCTGTCTGGTGCTATACTCTATACTTACTGCTATAGAAAGTGTCTCGGGGGTCTGGTTTGAGCATGTCCGCTCCATGCTGGCTGTTGAAGTGACTGTGTCTCTGTGACTGTTCCTCTACTGATGATGGTCTACTGTGACTGGCCAGGGTCTGAGGGATGTGGTCCACACTGTTCATCTTCAGACTGGATTCATCTAGGACAGAGAGAGAGAGAGGGAGAGGGAGATCAAAAATATATTTGGATTTGTTGAACACCTTTTTGGTTACTACATGATTCCATATGTGTAATTTCATAGTTTTGATGTATTCACTATTATTCTACAATGTAGAAAATTAATAAATATGTGAAATAGAGAGAGGGAGAGGGAGGGACGTACATAGGCACCTGAGCAATAAAGAAACGGAGAAGCTGCACCACCACTTTCAAAATAGGGGTGCAAATGATTTGTAATGTTTTAAGCTAGTCTGTATTAAAATAGATATGTCCATTTTATATATGATATAATAATCAACAGATTGCATTTTGCACCCACTCCCCCTGTCGCCTCAATTTTTGCTTTGCTCGTACGCACCACTGTTTTGGTCCCGTGCAGTTAGAAAGCTAGTTGCACCACTGGTGTTTAAAATGAAAAGACACCTGCAAAATAAAATTGTTTATCTATTGTTTTTAGCTGTTACATTTGTATCGTTGTTTCATGTGCAGTGGTGTTGGTCCATTGGTGTTGTTACACCATTACACCATCATTTGAGCTGCGTGCACCACAAGCAAATTCTTTGTATAATTGGAATTTGCCTGTAAGAACCATGATGAGCATGGACATGTCTGATTCGCAGTAGAGCAGACTCTGACTCTGAGTAGCCTTCCATCAGCCTACCAAAAGTTGCACCTGAGCAGGAAACTGCATGTCCGGTAGCTCGCGGGCTGTCAATGAGTAGCTTGCAAGTAGATAGTGAGAAATAATCAGTAGGCCTAATATTAGATCATTAAATATGTGAAATAATTTTCCTCCCCAAGCAGTTTACAGACATTTAACACCATTATGCATTTTTGCCATCTATTTTCCCAACTTCAATCGGCTAAATGACATTGTTAAAATGTTTACATTCAGTTACAAAGTAACAGTCCTGGCTGGGCGATCTGGTCTCAGAGCATTATGTATTATTCTGTACGTAAATCCGAGGTGCTCCATTCAGTATGATATGTTACGAATTACAATTCGTAGGATATGTTAAAATTTGCGAAAACGTACAATATGTTACGAATTTGCAAAACGTATGATATGTTCCAATTTGTTGTGGCTAACGTTAACTAAGTGGCTAGGTGCCTAACGCTAACGTGGGGTTAGGGTTAAGGTTAAGGTTAGGTTAAAGGGTTAAGGTTAGGGGAAGGGTTAGCTAAAACGGTTAAGGTTAGCATTAGCGTTAGGGGAAGGGCTAGCTAACATGCTAAGTAGTTGCAAAGTAGCTCAAAAGTAGTAAGTAGTTGAAAAGTTGCTAATTAGCAAAAATGCAAACGTTTTCTGTGATGACATTCGAACACGCAACCTTTGGGTTGCTAGAAGTTCACCTTATACATAATAACAAAATGTGCAGGCTGTGTATGAGTAGCTCGTGAATGTTTTTGTTGTTGTATGAAGTAGCCTTTATGAAAGAAAGTGTTGTAAACCCATGCTCTAGCCAGAACTGTTCAAATATGACTCATATTGCAGATTTGGGGCCGCAATTTATGGATATATATAGCTGCAAAAAACAACATTTGATAATGATAAATTAATATGTTTGCAATATTATTTTTATGTAAACATTATCAATGACCGAATTTAAATGCAAAACTCCAGTTTGCATTTTAAAGTTGAGAGTTCTTCTTCAATGCCCTACCAGATAACACTGCCATATTGAGATTGACAATTGTTAATCAAAGTTCACATTTGTAATTTACTACATTATTGTGATCACATTATTTGTGACAAAAATAAGATGAAAATTGCACTTAATGTGCAATTTAACAATGCTTTTTTTTACCTACCAAGTATAAAATTCAAAATCAAATCCTTATTGGGAAATTAAGCAATAAGGCATGAGAATCCGGGGATTATTCAAATCAAATCAAATTTTATTGGTCACATACACGTGTTTAGCAGATGTTATTGTGGGTGTAGCGAAATGCTTGTGCTTCTAGCTCCGACAGTGCAGTAAAATCTAACAAGTAATATCTAACAATTTCACAACATATACCCAATACACACAAATTGAAGTAAGGAATTAACTAAGAATATATACACAACCGCGCAAACGTTTGGGTTCACTTAGAAATGTCCTTGTTTTCTAATTGAATTTTCATTAAATTGATCGGAAATACAATGTAGACATTTTTTATGTTGTAAATGGCTATTGTAGCTGGAAACAGAGTTGCAAGAAAAAGCCATATCTCAGACTGGCCAATAAAAAAAAAAGAATAAGATGGGCAGTCTGAGATATGGCTTTTTCTTTGCAACTCTGCCTAGAAGATCAGCATCCCGTAGTCGCCTCTTCACTGTTGACATTGAGACTGGTGTTTTGCGGGTACTATTTAATGAAGCTGCCAGTTGAGGACCTGTGAGGCGCCTGTTTCTCAAACTAGACACACTAATGTATTTGTTCTCTTGCTCAGTTGTGCACCGGGGTCTCCCACTCCTCTTTCTAGGCTGGTTAGAGCCAGTTTGCGCTGTTCTGTGAAGGGAGTAGTACACAGCGTTGTATGAGATCTTCAGTTTATTGGCAATTTCTGGCATAGAATAGCCTTCATTTCTCAGAACAAGAATAGACTGACGAGTTTCAGAAGAAAGTTATTTGTTTCTGGCCATTTTGAGCCTGTTATCGAACCCATAATTGCTGATGCTCCAGATACTCAACTAGTCTCAAGAAGGCCCGTTTTATTGCTTCTTTAATCAGCACAACAGTTTTCAGCTGTGCTAACATAATTGCAAAGGGTTTTCTAATGATCAATTAGACTTTTAAAGTGATAAACTTGGATTAGCAAACACAACGTGCCATTGGAACACAGGACTGATGGTTGCTGATAATGGGCCTCTGTACGCCTATGTAGCTATTCAATAAAAAATCAGCAGTGTCCAGCTACAATAGCCATTTACAACATTAACAATGTCTACACTGTATTTCTGATCAATTTGATGTTATTTTAATGGACAAAAAAAATACATTTCTTTCGAAAACAAGCACATTTTTAAGTGACCCCAAACTTTTTAATGGTAGTGTACATATATGGACGAGCGTTGTCAGAGCAGCATGGACTAAGATACAGTAGAATAGTAAAAAATATAGTATATACATATGAGATGAGTAATGCAAGATATGTAAACATGATTAAAGTGGCTAGTGTTCCGTTTCTTAAAGTGGCCAGTGTGTGACACTCTGGCTCTAGGACTTGTATATGTGAGCCAGGGTGTATCTCATTTGGTGGTGTTGGGGATGGGTGAGTTTCATTTTGTTTGTATTTAGTGGTGATTGGTTAATGACTCCCAATCGGAGGTAACGAGCCGACAGCTGACACTCGTTACCTCCGATTGGGAGTCATTAACCAATCACCACTAAATACAAACAAAATGAAACTCACCCATCCCCAACACCACCAAATGAGATACACCCTGGCTCACATATACAAGTCCTAGAGCCAGAGTGTCACACAGTGATTTCTAGTCTATGTCTATCGTGGTCCTCTGTAGCTCAGCTGGTAGAGCACGGCGCTTGTAACGCCAAGGTAGTGGGTTTGATCCCCGGGACCACCCATACACAAAAAATGTATGCACGTGTGATTCTAAGTCGCTTTGGATGAAAGTGTCTGCTAAATGGCATATATTATAGGCAGCAGCCTCTAATGTGCTAGTGATGGCTGTTTAACAGTCTTTTGGCCTTAAGATAGAAGCTGTTTTTCAGTCTCTCAGTCCCAGCTTTGATGTACCTGTACTGACCTCGCCTACTGGATGATAGCGGGGTGAACAGGCAGTGGCTCGGATGGTTGATGTCCTTGATGATCTTTTTGGCCTTCCTGTTACATCAGGTGCTGTAGGTGTCCTGGAGGGCGGGTAGTTTGCCCCCGGTAATGCGTTGGGCAGACCGCACCACCCTCTGGAGAGCCTTGCGGTTGCGGGTGGTGCAGTTGCCGTATCAGGCGGTGATACAGCCCGACAGGATTCTCTCAATTGTGCACCTGTAAAAGTTTGTCAGGGTTTTAGGTGCCAAGCCAAATTTCTTTAGCATCCTGAGGTTGAAGAGGCTCTGTTGCGCCTTCTTCACCACACTGTCTGTGTGGGTGGTCCATTTCAGTTTGTCAGTGATGTGTATGCCAAGGAACTTGAAGCTTTCCACCTTCTCCACTGCGGTCCCATCGATGTGGATAGGGGGGTGCACCCTCTGCTGTTTCCTGAAGTCCACGATCATCTCCTTTGTTTTGTTGACATTGAGTGAGAGGTTATTTTCCTGGCACCACACTCCCAGAGCCGTCACCTCCTCCCTGTAGGCTGTCTCGTCATTGTTGGTAATCAAGCCTACTACTGTTGTGTAATCTGCAAACTTGATTGAGACAGCCGATTGATTGAGTTTGCTTGGCCACGCAGTCATGGGTGAACAGGGAGCACAGGAGTGGGCTAAGCACGCACCCTTGTTGGGCCCCAGTGTGGAGGTGTTGTTTCCTACCTTCACCACCTGAGGGCAGCCCGTCAGGAAGTCCAGGACCCAAATACACAGGGCGGGGTTCAGACCCAGGGCCTCGAGCTTAATGATGAGCTTGGAGGGTACTATGGTGTTGAATGCTGAGCTATAGTCAATGAACAGCATTCTTACATAGGTATTCCTCTTGTCCAGATGGGATAGGGCAGTGTGCAGAGTGATGGCGATTTGCATCGTCTGTGGATCTATTGGGGCGGTAAGCAAATTGAAGTGGGTCTAGGGTGGCAGGTAAGGTAAAGGTGATATGATCCTTGACTAGTCTCTCAAAACACTTCATGATGACAGTGAGTGCTACGGGCGATAGTTCGGTGCTTTCTTCGGTACAGGATCAATGGTGGCCATCTTGAAGCGTGTGGGGACAGCAGACTGGGATAGGGAGATATTGAATATGTCCGTAAACACACCAGCCAGCTGGTCTGCGCATGCTCTGAGGACACGGCTAGGGATGCCGT